TTATTCACTATTGTATCACAAGAGACCCATCTGCATTTCATTTCTTCAGCCCCGCCTAGACAGATTGGATACTACTCACTGGAGACTCTGCCTTCCTCCTGGTCCTCTGGCTTTAGGTTCCCTCTTGACAGCTTGTAAGCCAGTCACTTCTTGCCTTACAAAATCATTTTTATCTTCATACAGCATCAAGGTATCGGGCATTGGTGATCTCTTGACTTCTGGTGCTATCAGGGTTCCAGAAGAAGACAGTATCTCGATAGGTGCAGAACTATTGGAATAACCTTTATCAACTTTCTTAGTTTGATATAGGAGGACCCTTGGTATACATAGTTTTTCCTTTAGTGAAGATAAGTCAGTTAATTATTAAAGTTACTGACAGCTTTTCTGACCAGTTTTCTCTGGTTTCTGGGGTAATAGCCATCCTGAGGAGCCAACCGTATTTTCTGACACACCCATCTAATTGTAGTCAGCAGGACAGTGGATGTGGTGTCAGATTGGACAAAGTGGCTTCTGAGTATGATGATAATACAGGTCAACTGCTTTGGGATCCTTTGTGATACCTGTAGTGCTTCTGATGGGAAGCTTGCCAGAGGTGAAAGGAATGGTCCCATGAGAGCAACTTAGGGCAGCAACTTGGGATTTTCCCATGATGCATCCTGATCTACAGTCTCTACTTTCTCTTTCTCTTGCCTTGGATCATTTGCCAACAACCTATTTTATTTCCTAGTCCCTTCCTAGTTACCATATTCAAATGCTGTGTATATGCTGAAAGCTAGCTTGAAAGGGAGAACGTAATTGCAGAATGACTGCCAGGTCAGGAAGGGGGATGAAAAATGGGCCACTTAAGTACATGATTGCTGCAACAAAGAAAATTTTCCCAGAAATAAATTGGCATCTCTCAAGAGAACCCTATAGTTTGTTCTGTTTTCTCCAAATCCCACCATCCTTTTTGTTTTTAAGTTGGCCTATTTAAGAACGGCAGAATCTCTCAGGCTGTGTAACCTGCCATTTCCTGGCATAGTGGCTTTACAGTGGCTGATTGAGTCATGGAGGACTGAGCACTGTCTTTGCCTCACTTCCTCAAGGATTCCCCAAAGCATCACAGAGCTTGATTAGTCCAGACAATGAAGTCTGCCGGGGCCTCGGTTTATGTTTACTTCTGAGTGTTGTCAGAGAGGAGTGGAAGATGCCTAGATGAACCATTAAAAAAAAAAAATCTCTGTATATACTTAATAATATATGCTTATAGATTAAAAAGGAATTCTAATGTGGTACTGTAGGACAAACACTGGGTCACAAGGTTGGCAGTTCAAATCCACCAGCTGCTCCTTGAAAACTCTGTACAGGGTCACTATGATTGGGAAGTGACTCCACAGCATTTAACAACAACATCATAGATTAAAAAAATAAATGAAAGAGAAAAACAAAACTTGTTTCCCTGAAGTTAACCACTATTAACATTTTGCTATGTAATTTTCTAGACATTTTTTTATATGGAAATAGTTTTTTTCTTTTCTGCAAATATTATGCTATACCAGAAGTGTTATAATTATTTTTTCATTACATAGAATCTCTTAGACATTCTTGTGTGTCAATAATATAGACTTAAGTTTTCCTAATGCCTTATTTTGTCCAAAATATTGGTCAGATGCCCTCTTTTCTTGTAGACTAGTGGTTCTTAAACTTGAGCATGTGTGATGATTTATTAAATACAGAGTGTTGAACCCAACCCCAGAGTTTTGGATTCAGTTAATCTGGGATGACTGGGGATTCTTCTTTCTAACAAGTTCTCAGGGGTGCTTTTGGAGAAGCATTGTTCTGAACCTTCGATATATTTCCCTTTTTCTTGTTTTTCTTATTGTTTTCAGTAAATAACCAGAATTCCTAGGAATGAGTCCAAGTATTTTCAACTTTAAAAACAAATAAACAAAGATTCAGGCAAATGGAAAAGTTGAGCACCAGTGGCAAGGGTGGAAGGGAAGGAGGGGATGAGAGAGAGGTGGATTGGGGAGTCATAGCTCAGGTTGTCTAACAGGATGAAATTGCTTTAAACCATCACTTCTAACAGAGAAGTGGTGCTGGTATGCCATGGTGTCGGTTCCAACTCATAGCAAACCTAAATAGAGTTTCTAAGGCTGTAAATCTTTACCGGAGCAGAAAGCCTCATCTTTCTTCCATGGAACCACTGGTAGTTTTGAACTGCTGACCTTGAGGTTAGCAGCCCAACTTGTAACCACTATACTACTATAACTCCTTAACAGAAAAATAGCAAAGCCAAAATGAAGGGGAGGGGTCCTTGTCAGCCCATGGTCCATACTTAGACCATGAGGCCTAAAGCTGGAGAAACAGCAGGAGACATCAAATTCCAGCCACTAGGGGTGAGCCTGAGGACAGGAATTTGAGTCAGTGATGATCAGTAACTGAGGTGCAGGACCAGACAAAACTGTAAGCACTGCGTGTTGCTATGACAAGGCCTTTTTAAAAAGATGAATACTTTCGGAGATCTTGAACTTGGCATACAATAGAAAAGAAAATTTAAACACAAATAATCATTAGTTGCAAAAAGGATTGATAGGGAGTGGTGTGGTACTATAGGATAAGCGCCAGATTGCTAACTTTAACTGAAAGGTCGGCAGTTCAACACTTCCAGCTCACAGGGTCACTGTGAGTCCAAACCAACTTAACGGCACTTAACAACAACAACAGAAACAATGTGTTTGATATGATTCAGTTTGCATACAAAATTTTTCATGTGAACTTCTCAGAAACATCTGTTGGACAAAGTAGGATTTTGTCTAGATTTCTTACACTTGTACTAGACTTGAGGGAAATTAAAATACCTAGTGAAGTGCATGTGCACATACGTACATGCATATGTGTGTGTGTGCATGGATTTTTATGAAACTGGAAGGAGTCTGAGGTCTTTATTGTCACGGATTCCCTTTGCAATGATTGTGCAGTCGCCTTCCATAGTTCATCTAGAGGAAAGCTAGGCATGGAGAACACGGATTCCCTGCTCAGTCTCAGAAAGCATTCAACCAAAAGCATAGCATGCTCAGCTCAATCAGACTACCCTTTTACTATGCAGCTCATAACAGCCACTTTCTCTGTTATGTATTGATTGTTTTTCTATCCCTCTGAGATGTGCTGTTCATTATTCCCTGTAACTGGTGTGCTTGAATCAAACAGTTAAAAAAAAGTAATATACCTCAAATTTGCACTAATTTTATAAGAAGTGGTTCTCAAAACAGAAGCCTTTAGAAACGGAAGCAAAGTAGCTCACATTATTCTATTTTACTGGAGTGAGATTAAACATGTATTTGCTCATTCCACGGCTGCCTGAAATATACCAGGTTGTTTTCCTTTGTTGTTTACTTTAATCTCTAACAATGTTCTTATCGAGGTATGAAACCAAATA